CTCCAAAAATCCGCCTATACCCCTGGCGTTGAGCAATTGCTAGCCTGCACTTGCAGATCTTTTCAGTTCAAGCCATGATATGTCATGATCAATGAGCGATATCCGCATTGGCTGGTTCTAAAGCCTTGTAGCATTCGACGTTAGCTATGCTGCGGGAAATCACACAGCAAATGCCGCCGTAGGCTAGTGAGGCAGTTGTGCCGGACATTCTCATTGTTGCGCGAACCAAGGAGAGGCGAGTTTGCCCGGACGACGGCAAAACATACACGTTTGATGAGTTGAAGAAGGCTTATGCAGGAGACTGTCACAGTGCAATGTGCATTTCTGTGGGAACAGCTGTTGTCATTTTACTTGCGCCACTCGGCATGTTTTCAAGGACCGTGAGCTCCAAATGCCGGAAGAGAGTGGTTTGATATAAGAATATCTAGTCATCCAGTGACTCAACGTCGTTTCCCACTCCCACATTGCAAAGTAGTCCTTGGTATGCTCACTCATTGGCTTCGCCTCTGAGTCTTGCTGTAGCGAGTTGGCTCCCGTTTTCTGTAGTGGCTCTTCCCCTCCCTTTTCTTTGGATGGAAGGGCATGTAGGACTCATTGTTTGCAGTTAAGTCTGATGGCCAATTCGGCTGCCCTTAACCTGACCAGACTTGACGATGCACGGATTTTTCGCGTGCATCTGGCACAAACTTTTCCCACATTGCAAAGGCGGAGATGTGTGCAGCATCCTACCAAGCTTCGCCCATAAGGGCTTGCTGGGTACGGACTTGGAGCTTTGCGCAAAAGGCTTTGAGGCTTTTAGGTTGGACCCCGCTTGTGTACTAGATGCATTTGTGGCGCGAGGACAATACTCAGAGGAAGACTTGACCGCATACTGGAGAGATGCCATGGCAACTCCTGGAACTGCGGCAGACAAGCCCCCTGAGTCCAAGAAAGAGGTTGCTTGAATGCAGTTCTTCAACTTGGTGCAAAGCTTTGTGACGTTCCTGTTTGCTATGCAAAGCATGGTCTTGAGGATTACAAACAAGAAGAGTGGTACCAGATGCTTGCTAGCATTTGCTTTGAGCTTTAGTGCTCAAGAGCAAGAACCAACCCAAAGCTTTTGCACAAGTGAGGAAATGGTTACGAAGACAGCAGAACAAGAACCGGCAGATCATCGAAATTGGTTAGCCTCGTTTGCTTGGGCTTCTGCTTGTGACAAAAGCGCTTACTCCAGGGAGTGTGAAGTGCACTGGGGGTCAAATTCCACAGGAAGCGCACGGATATCGATGCGGGTGCACAAACCAAGTTTCTGCTGTGGAAGTATTTCTCGTCCCAAGTGATCAAGCAAGGCATTGATTGAGCAGGGCATCACCTCAGAGGATCATGCATGTGCACTACCGCAGCACAGGAGTTCAGGATGCAAAAAGGGCTCTCCTGGACGAAGATTTTACGTGTTCTTTTTTGTGGGTTTGGCCTACCACCATCGCAGCCTCAAAGCTCACAGCTTTCATACATACCAGCAGCGCCAGCAGCAGCCTCAGCGCAAATGTTGCTGCGCATTTGTTTCACTGCGGATGCATGCGGATGCAGCAGCAGAGAAGCTTCCTCGCATGCAGCCCGCTTGTTCAGGCCTCAGCTTTCAAGCGCAATGCGCTTGCCATCATGGTGGATTCGCACGGTTCATGTGACGTCAACTGTTGCTAAGGCTGCTTTGCTACTTCTGGGCTTGAATGTTGGCGTGGAGGAAGCATGCGCATGAGTCTATGAATTCAAGTTCATTTGAAGCAGCAGTGGCTGGTGCCCCAAAAGAAGCAGAACAAGTTGTCCAATTGCTTTCCAGATTTTACAGCAGCGCTAGACCTCTCACGCATCGATGACACTTTTATTCAGTGCTCATGCGCCATGCCATGATTTTGCAAAGAACCCAATCGCGCACCGTCGTAAACCCTCCAGATTGGCACTTGCTTTCCAGACGCGTGGCATGCAGGAATTTTGCACCTTTCTAGCGATCTGAACCGCACTCGCCGTTGGATAAGGGATTGAGTCATTGGGGTGGCTGCGAAGCGCCGAAGGGCAGGGCTTGCCAAGACATGCCAAGACAAACTGCGTGCCACTCACACAGAAACAGGATTATAAAGTGGACACATCATGTGGGCCTCCCCAATTTACGCAGAGAAGTGGCTCAGATGGGGGCTGATGGCCAAGTGAACATCTAGACAAGCAAAAGCTAGTACTCGTAGCTGTGTTTTTGACTGTCACCGGCAGGCAGTACCACCCAAGCAGTTCTGCCCCCAAACAAGCTGGAGCTTTTGGCTTGCGTGCAGGCCTGTGTGACAGCGAGGGTGGTGAGCTTTGGGAGGAAGCCGCGCTGGGCCAGATCCCAAGCCGAAGGGAAAAAGCTTGCAGGGAGCAGTCGGAGATGCATTCTGCATTCAGTACTGCAGAGGCAGAAACACTTAGCAGCCTTAGCACACTCTTGAGGCAGATGGATGGGCATCCTTTTTCTTGGGTGGTCGACCCATCAGTTACTTGAATGCAGAAGCAAGCAGTTATCTGCTTAGCGCAAGAGTAAAGGCCAGGAGCTCAGGGTGAAGATTCGCCTCTCATCAGGCTTTCTTCCTGGCAGAGGCGTGCTGGCCCCAGGAACCTGGGACTTCAGCACTGCTCCCGAATACTTGGGGCAAAGAGCTGCCTAGGTGAACCTGGTGTCCATCAATGCCACCACTGAGGAGGCCTTTTTTGGTTAGAAATAAGTGGTTAGAAATGGGTATAGGGTAGAGACAGGCGCATGGTGCAATGGCATATGAAGAGGGCCGAACCGGGACCTGCACGGACGACTTGACAAACATGGGCAGCCAAATGGTGGACGTCATTAGGACGAGGTGACTGCTAAGGCTGCTAAGGATCTCTCACACGGCGCAGGTCATCTCTGCCAGGTCCTACAATGAAGCCCAGCCAGGGCAGCTGAAGAAGGACAATTTCAGCTCTGACAGCTGTGAGCAAACAACTGTGCATGTATTACCCTCACCACAGTAGGATTAGACTTTTGCAGACTTAGCAGGGTTGGAACTCTGGCGGCCCCGCTTTTGCAGGACTTGAGCGATTTGTCCCCAGACGCAGCACGCGGCCAAGCATGATGCGGATTGAACGTGCCAGCCAGTGGGAGCGCCTAGGTAGTCTTGATGGCGATCAAGGGCCAAACGGACCAGGAGACTTCTGGCAAAGGAAGAAGTGAGGCAAAAGTCTTGGTCATTGGTCAGCAGGAGAATCTGCAAGCTTTGTCGCTTGTGCAAGCCTCCCTATTTCCGGTCCTTGCTGAGGGAGAAGGTCGACATGTGAGCATGTTTTGCCAGATGCTCTCAACTTCTGCCAGTAAACAGCCGGAACTTCAGTCATTCCATTTGCAACTGTGCCGAATGCCCGAACGTACCGCCAAAAACGCAGGTTATGCTCTCATCGGTGGCCGTGGCCTTGCACCTGTCGCAGAGGATTTGGGCATTTTGGCAGACGCAGGGAACTCAGGCGCGGCTGTTGTACAGCCAGATTGCCTCAGATCGCACTGGTTGGCGGTGTTGCTGGCTGCGAAGTGCGTTGCTTTTTCATGCTTGCATTTTCTACTGGCAGTCCGTTCCCATTCCCCATGTCCGCCGACGTCAGCAGAGATGGTTGCAGCAAAAGCCCGGTCTGTGGCATGGCTGGTGGACACTCAATGTGTAGCTCGACATGTGAAGGCGCTAATGTCAGACAAAGACTATGTCATACACATTTATCCCGAGCAAGAACATTATTCGAAGTACGGATGGCAGGCTGGGATGGAGTTTTGCATGGTTCAAGAATTTGGAGTAGCGATTTGTTCGCGAGCAGTGTTTGTCCATGCTAGCTTGATAAGTACACACAAGACTGCAGTAAGCTGTTGAATAGCGTTTGCTGATGGTGCGCAGCTCACCGCTTGCAGCTCTTGGACTCAGGCTTTTCAGCTAAAGCAGGTTGAGCTAGCAAGCAGCTGGCTTCAGTTGTCTTGTTGCTAGATTAGATGCTGAAGAGTGATGCCGACTGCATGGAAGCAGTTGTGTTGGAGTGCCATGCTGCTGAATCTGAAGGTGTTTGCTGCTGATCTTAGCGGCTTCAGGCCGCTAAGAACCTCTGATGCTGCAAGAAGGAACGGGTAGAAAGACGCGAATTGGCGCAGGCCTCGCAGTCAGCGAGTCTTCAGAATCCTTAGATTCGTTGGTGGCTTCACAGCCGCTCCGTCTGGACAACTTTGAAGATGACGACTGCATCGAATCCGGCGAGTCGGATTTGCTCCTGCAAGTTGGCTTCACAGCCGTTCTAGTTGACAGGCTCAACCCGCGTGTGTCGCAACTCCACATGTGCTAGCCTGTCATCAAGCTCAGGCATCTCATGCACGAGCTGGGCGGTGTGTTGGAACAGGTCTTGACCAGCATCAAGCAAGGCATCGCAGAGGAGGGGACAGCAGCGCGCCTGACGATGTTGAATATTATGTTAGCAAGTTGCTGAAACGTTCCTGGCTGGTGTGCATGCCTTCTGCAACTTGAGGCATGAATTTTGAAACTTCTGTCACAGAGGGCCAAGATGAATTCAGCCCATGGCAAGACGTTTGTCTCAAGCCCGTTTCTGCGTTGCATGTGTGATCGGCCCCCTACTAACAAGCATGGATTTTGATGAGCTGGAAGAGCAAGAAAAGCAGCGAGGCGCACCACGGCAGCAGCATTGAAGGTTCTTTCTGCCTTTAGTGACTTTCTGCAGTCGTTAGAGCTGTTTCAAGAGCTTCCGAGGTTTTCCAACCTTCAGAGCCTTGTGAAGCAGGCTTTTTGAGCGCAGCCGGCGCGAAGACTTTCCAGGCCTGTTGCGCCGTGTGCCTTCGGCCATCCCGGCCATCTTTGTAGTCAGCAGGTTTTCAACAATCGGTATGCTACACGCGTTTTTTGGCTGGTGAGCAATGTGTAGGAGGCGTGAAGGGAGTTGCACAGCATCCTTGAGAAACGCATCGCCTGTTTGAGCAGCCTCCGCTCGTTTTGTTACAGCACCCTTGAAAGCGTGCGAAAGCCCTGGTAGGAGCTGAAACAGAAGAGGCAGCTCGAGCTACTCTGTAGCATCAGCACTTCCTGAAGTCCCTGCTGTCAGCTCCAGCATCCTCGGCTGTTGGAGAGCAGAGCAGTGCAAAGCAGCTTTGCCTTGTGCATCTCCGTGATGTCAGGATAGTGTCCGCTGTGCTTCCGCAGATTCCTTCTCGACTGGGAGAGCTTGTCCATCTAGAAAGCCTGAAGGTGAGGCAGTCGTGTGTGCAAAACCTACCATCAAGCATGGGCAACATGGTGGCAAATGGTTCGAAAGGATTTTGGCCGACCGTGATTTTACATCGACAGTTCAGCAAAGATGCGAAGCTGGCTGAGCGGCAAGTCCTTTCTCAGGTGGCCTTTGTTGCCTCCAGCTGCTTGATCTCTCAGCTGCTCAGCTTGCATTTGCTTTTTGCTGGTGAGCGCATGTGTCATCCTCAGGGGGGTCGGAGAGATGACTGCGGTGAGGCGAACTGCATCGAGGTTTTGCCAGATGCCATCCTGAACCTCACAACGCTGACACAGTTGAACATCTCTGAAAACAAGCTGCCAGGATCTTTTGGTCTTACATGTTCACCTTCCCTGATGGGTACCGTCACATTTCTGCACATATACACATGTCACATATTCATATGTATGTGCAGTATCTTCAGTATGTATGTATGTATGTGTATACATAAATGTAGGTACGCACATGCGTAGGCATGTGCGTGTACATGACTCACCCCCCAGAACCATCCCCGAAGGACCCGAAGGATGCCAAGGTCATTCATGTGGTGCCAAACAACTGGGTTGACCTCATTAACCCGGCATACAAAGAACCTAACAAAACCAATCAAATCATTTCATGAGCATTAGACCCCCGTAGCTAAATGAAACAGACGGACCAAGTCAGAACTGGTTCTGGCAAAGCAACCAAAGAGATTAGCTGATCGCGATCTATGTCCTGCAATTGAAGAAGGTGTGGAAGACATGGAAAAATGGCAACGTAATTATGATGGATTTCATGCTTGAAGTTTTTGCTGCTGACCGTTAACTTCTGCCGCTTTCCTGCGGATTGCTCAGATGCCACTTTGTTTTGCTTACTCATGACTTTGCTTACCATATCTG